TCTGAACCAGCTGTGGATGTAGCAGAAGTAGAATCCTCTGCGCCGGTGCCTGAAACTGAAGTGGTCGACGACCACACTCCAGAGAAACTAGTGGAGCAGGAAGCTTCTAAGTCTATCGACAATGCGGATCCAACAGAGGATTCCACACCCGATGTTGCTCCTATCGTTGCCGGTGAATCTTCTACTGTTGAAGAACAAACAGCCACTGAGCTTTCGGAAGATCCTGAGCCCAAGCCTGCTGATCCTGCCCAAGGCGAGCCCCCTACTATTGATGTAGCTGAAGCAGGAGTGCAGCCAACAGAACCCGAGACCTCGAAACCCATGGATGACCTAGTTCTGGAACCCGAGCCCGCTTTACAGACGACCAGTTCTGGTGGCCTCAATGCTCCAGTAGAAACAGCACAGCCCGACAAAACAAAAGCTAGCGATGATACTGTCTCTGACCCCGCTGAACTTGCCGAACCTGCCAAGCCTGCCGAACCTGTCGAACCTGCTGAGCCTGAACTAACGACCCCCGAAGCTCCTGAGGCCTCAGTGAAAACAATGGAGTCTGAAACAGTGCAGCCTGTCTACGATGTTGCCTCTGAGGCAGCAGATATTGCTGAACCTGCTGAACCTGCTGATGCCGAGCCGGTAACAGAAACTGAAACCGTCGAAACCTCCGATGCCCCGGAGGATCCGAAGGAGCCCGAAGTCTTGGAACCCGCCGAAGATGCCACAGCACAACAGGAACCTGAACCTGTCGCTGCGACTGCAACTCTAGACACCGCCCAGGCCCCGGAGGAGCCACCACACACTGAAACTTCGGTTAATGCTGACGATACTGCAACTCAACCTGCTAAATCCGAGCCTGAACTTGCTTCTGGGGCGTCCGTCTCTGGAATTGCTGAAGCCCCAGCAGAATCAGTAAAACCAGAAGCCTCAGAAGCCATTAACAATGTTGTTACCGAACCGGAGCCGATTGCGGAGGCCACATTATTGGATGCTCCTGAAGTTTCAGCAGAACCGACAGCACCCGAGGCCTTGCTAGTTGCCGATGAGGCTATTGTCGAACCCACAGCTGAAACAGAGGTAGATTCAACTGCTCCCGACTCTCAGAAAACTGTAGAAGCGGCTGCGGTAGAACTTGAATCTACAGCGTCTGAAGAGGAACAGGAAGTGATCGAATCAGAAGATAATCCTATTGCTCCTGCTCCTGAAACCACACCGGTGGATGCTCCCAATGCATCTGAGACCTCTGTTGCTCCTGCTGTACCAGAAGAGGCGGAAGCGGACATTACTACCAGCACTCCGCTTGAGTCTAACGTGCCTGAAGAAGTTACTCCTGTTGCCGAGGAAAATGTCGACACACCTGCTAGTGCACAGGAACCAGAGACATTAGAAGCCCGTGAGGCTGATGTCACCAATCCCGCGTCGGAGCCTACTACTATTGATGATTCAAAGGCCGCAGAGGCTCTTGCTCCAGCCCAAGAGCCTGAGGAAACTCCTGAGATTCCCACACCCACGGAGGGACCTGAAGCCTCGAAAGCTACCGATGATGCCGTCCCTGACAATGCGGGAGAAGAGGTGGCTACAAATGACAATCTCGCCGATTCAAAAAATGCGCAGCCAGATACAGTTACTCCAGAGCTACCAGTGACTGAAGAACGCGTTGAGGATGTTGCTAAACCTGTCATCGCAGACGAACCTATCTCTGACCCCGAACCGATCGCAGCGGAGCAACCAGACGGCCCAACTCCCGACGAACCCGAAGTTGCCCCTGCTGAAGCTGCTGCCGCTGTGACCGAGCCAGAAACGAACGAGCCAAATGAAGTCACTGAAACTGCTGTGGAACCCGAGAATGTGGAGCAGGAGGCGGTAGAAAGTGAACAACCTGCCGTAACTTCCGCTACGCCCTCTGAGCTACCTCAACAGGCAGATGCTCTTTCTGAAATTGCTCATGACATTCCGGAGCCAACAGCCGAAAAATCAAGCACTGATCCCGAAATCACGCCATCCGCTGAACTAGTTTCCGAAACCATCCTCGCCAGCGAACCAGTCACTGAACATGGGCCGGAAGTTGTCGCTGAACCTACCACTGCTGTTGCTGTAGCAACCGAGACAGATGCTCCTGCTTCTAAAGATCTTGAAGTTCCAGAAAAATCTGAACACGTCGAAATATCCTCTGTTAAACCTGCTGGGAAAGAGGATGGTCTTGAGCCTCCTACGGGAACTGCTGCCCTTGGACAGTCTGCTGCTGAGATAGTGGCTGACGAGCTAGAAGAATCTTCCAAATCAAAGGACGCGCCCGCTGCGCCTTCGCCCGATGAAGTAAGGGAGCCGGAATCTCAGGAACCCGAAGTTCCAAAGGAAATCGCGGTCGAAATTGTGCAGCCAGCTTCGCTAAATACTTCTGATTATCCGCTCATCGAAACGCCCATAGAAGGTTCTACGAGTGAGCCAGTCATGGCTGATGACAACCAGGCGCCCGTCAAGGAGGCGCCCCCCGAGACACAGGCTAAACCTGAGCTGGAGGTCGCCGATGCCCCAAGTGAAGAACCACGCGTTGAGGTAAACGGTATCACATCCAAAACACCACTGGAAGATGTACCACAGGAGCCTGTAGAGGAACCGGCAGCGGCGAAGGTGGCAGCAGCAGCCCTAGCAACTGCGGTTGTTGGGGCTGGCGTCACCCAACTAGTTTCAAATTCCAAAGAACCTGTAGCTGACAAAGATATTTCGTCGCTAATCGGAGAAGCTCCGGCAGAAGTAGTAGCCTCTGCTGTGGAAGCACCATCATCGAGTGTTCCGGAAGCAACTCCTTCGGACAAGGATATGCCTAGCGCCAAGGGCGACACAGACAAGGCAGTGGTCAACGGCAACAAGCCCGCACCGGTTCCAGAAGCAGACGTGGATGCAGCTGAGAGAGGTTTTACTCCCGCCAAAGCGCAGGAAGAACCATTAGCTAAGGCAGCAGAGCCTGTCGAGCCAGCCAAACAATCTGTAGCAGAACGTTCCACGAAGAAACCTGACGTTGAAGCTCCTGTGCCAACTGCCGCTAGCGAAGCTGAGCCAATTCCTTTGGAGCCGACTGAACCCGAACCAGCCTCCAAGCCAAGTGAGTCTGCCACAGCAGATCCGACGACTACGACTACGGAACTATCACCAGCGCTTGCTGCAATGAAGCCAGCAGGATCAGGAGGAACTGACGGGTCGCGCCCCCCAACAGCGGGAGAGCTGTCCGCCACATCGATCACAATCCACAAGAGAGAAAACTTCTTCAAAGCACTCTGGCACGCGATTTTCACTAGTTTCTTCGGCGGCTTCTTTTCAGTTTTCCGCCGCGGCCGTCGCGATACCCCCCGCCAGTAAGAGAAATATTTTCTAGGAATTCTTTTCTTCGGTTTCCTATTTTTTCTCTTTTCCCATTGGTTTCTTTTGGTGTGATACATACCCCCGGCCACTAGCCCCTTCACCAGTCATCATCCTCTCCGCTCCGCCTATCCCTCTAATACTTTTATCTTCCCTCCCCCCTCCCCTCCATTTCCTATGTGAATTTCTCTTTATTTCCTATGTGTGTACCTATTATTCCGTTTTATCTACTTGTAACCTGACCTGATTCAATTTGATATCCATTTTCATTTTTTCTTCGAATCCAACATTTGGTCATGCTGACCAGCTTCAGGGCACTCTTGGTCACTGTCACTGTCACGATTGTTCCTACTCTCATCGCGATCCTCTTAGCGTTCTACTGGCGTGCATTATCCTCCTATATCGCCGAGTATCTTTTGAGCGTTTCATCATCTTCACTCATCTAATTTGAATTTGGCTCGTCACAATTTTTTTTGATTTGGGGTGCACGCCAATTTGGTTCCATATAACTAGAGTGGTGAAACGCTTTTTGAACGTTTCGTTGACGACTTCGCTGCATATTATTATAAATTTGTTGTCCGCATTTTGGCGCTCTTATTTGCGCAGCTCTTGCTTCGACATATTTTGGCGATTAAGAGCTTGAATTTGCTATTATGCATACCCTAGTCCTTCTACACTGTTGTCTATATGATGAACATGATAAGTGTGATGTTTGTCTTATTTCGATCCCTGCAAATTGTGTCGTTCATCCTTGTGTGGAATGTCAGCAAACATGCCTGCGTACTGAATGCCTTGAATCCCACTACGAGGACAAATAATCGCTCTTACCCTCGCCCTTCCAACGAGATTGTCCAACAACCCGTTCATCGTTCCTCGTCAGATATATTCTCAAATGAGATTTGTTTAGGTTTGCATGCGTATTTAATTTTGGGGCGCGGCGAGCCGACTTCCGAAAGAGTCCTTGAGGGATAGCATGATCCTTATTATAGTGATACGCCGCTACGTTGAGGCCTCATCCCTCGGCCTCCTATACGTCCCGTATGTTTCAGCAATCTAAGTATTTTGGAAACAGAAATCTCACAATATGTTTCACCCATTTTTTGGTTTGTTTCTTGGACACTCCATTGTGTTTTCTATATGATTATGCCTATAACAACTCCATTTCACCACTAAAAGGCTGGGACATGGCCCCTGCTACAACTACGTCTTAACAGCTTCGATCTTTCCGTTTATTTACTCTACGCCTCATTATCTGTCGTGTATACCATCAGGCCATATTCTTCTGACCTTAGCAGACACACTAGACGCCAACCCCAGTTCTCCTTTGATACGCGAATGCACTTGGCTTCGACATGTACAAACTAATGGTTGGCATTAGTACCCTATCGCTGGGAGTTTCTGAGTGAAAGGATAGAGTAAAGGCATGCACAAAGGCAAGGGAACAATCAAGATCATTGCTGGTTGATTCTGACTCATACTTTTACCCTGACCTGCAAGCTAGAAACAAAGCAAAGGGCCACTGAACAAGGAACAAGGCATACCCCGAAAGAGGTATAGAAATAGGGTAAAGAATCCCCCAAGGTAGGTTCATGTCTGTTGAGTTAACAGGAACACCTCGCTTAAATAGCACTAAGAGTCATACTGTCCAGCACAGATCATTTTCTCTTACCCCTATCATCCCTGAGCTTGCTTTCACAAATAACTTCATCCTTTGACATATTATAGCTCTGGTTAAAATAAATTGGCTTACTACTATCTCAGATCACAGACTCAGATTAAGAATAACATCCTGAACATAAGGACCATCACAAGCTGTTAATATTGAAGACCTTTCATAACTTGTGAGTGCTTTTCTCCTCTTGATATGCTTCCCCCTGAGCTTCTATCTCTGCATTGAACTTCCACCCAAATCTATACATCCCCTCCGCAAAGCAATCAACATCATAAATGGAAGCAGACATCACATTCAGCCACATCCCCTCTCTTTATTGGACCCTGACCCTCAGCTTTGAGACATTTGGCTACCCTCCTAAGCTGTCAGAACCCTCTTTCATTTAACTACCATGCATATTGACACTTGATTTACCATTTGCAGTTCCCTATACATCTCTGCGTGGCTTATCTTCTCCAACTGCACTCTTAAACGCCTTTTGTACATCCGTTAGCTTATCCGCTCATCTTTAGAAGTAATATCGTCATTTTTGTCAGGTTCCACTTACCTACACAATACCCATATCCCACCACACCATACTGTTTCTTAGGCAGAATAATTCGTGGGCCCATACGTCCTTTTCGGTGTCAGACTTTGAATGGCGGATCAACAACCGCACCAAATTTGAATCACTATACAAGAGCCGCTAGGAACGACCAGCCGCCCAACGATGGCCCCACGATTTAAGAGAGGCTCTATTTCGAAGTCGAAACAGGGACAGAGTAAGACCCAGAGAGGCGATGTTGCTGGCTCGAAGCATGGAACGGCGGCCAAATTTCCCCAACCATGCGCGTATTCGCCGGCGAGCAATCTTGGAAATGCTGAGCCCACGCCACCATCACCATCACCACCAGGAAGAAGCCCACTAGGCGTTATACCAGGAGGGGGTACCTTGGAAGCGGCTGAAGAGCCCAAATTATATTACCCCAAGGAGAAGGAAGCCACAGACAGAGGACCCGACTCAGCGCCGCTTCTGCCTAGAGGTTCCTCCTTGTCTGAGGTGACATGGCAACCCTTTCGAGCGGTGAGAAAGGTGAGCTCCACGCCCAGGCTCCGAGATGATGAAATTAGTTTCGGCCGGAATCGCGCCGCCGCTCGGCAAAATTCTTCTTGTGCGTCTAGTGTAGGGTCAGCGGAAACCCGTCAAGAAGATTATTGCCAGACCATTCCTAAATTAGAGGGAATTATCCTAGGATCCCCTGACTTAAGCCTTACCAGCAAAGGAACATGCGGCACGAGAGGCAGTGGCAAAGTAATTGTACCTGAGAGGAAAGTTTCCAGTATTCAGGGGTCAATCGAAATTGGAGATGTTGAGGAGTGTAGCAGCATAGTGACTCCTAAGCGAAGTCTAAGTGAATACAACACTGAGGTCTCGTTGCCCGGCCAAAACCTTCAGCTTTCGTCACTCCAGCTACCCCCTCGCCCACCCACGCCAATGGAGTTTAGACAACGTTCACTGTCCCAGGGAGCCAGCTCTCAAAGTTCTTTCTTCTCCCGTGGCAGAAGCATCATCAGAGCCAGAGGTGGAAGAAACCCCCGCAGGAGATCAGCCAAGCGTGATATATCAAGAGGTCAGAGGGTGCCTTTGTTTGTCCCACCTTCCATTAGCTCACACCAAGATCACTGCATGGGGCCAAAGACCTCTCCCGACCAAAACTCCAACGTGTTGGAGCTAGAGCCTACAATTGACTTTCCCAAAATGGTTCCACAGATCTTGTCAGGAGAAGCTCCTCAAAATGAAATACTTTCGCAGCTCAAGGACCTCACCGACAGCGTGGCAGACATTAAAATCGAGCAAATGAGAATCAACAAGCAACTTGAAGATACCAACACTCAATTGAAAAAATTCTCAGAGGAGCTGCAGCTGGAGAAGGATGCGAGAGTTAGAAACCTGGCAGCTTACGAAGAAACCATCAACAGTCATATCACCCAGGCTGTGGGGGAGCTTAGTGAGGCAATGGAATCTGTTGCTGTTACAGTGGCGAAGATCAGTGACAGTACAGCAAATATTGGCTCCAGAAATTCAAAAGCTAGTGAAGGTCACGACCTCAAGTGGTCTGATGCTGTGGAACAAGAGGCTAACGATGCTTCTGTTTGTACACCGACTTCAACTCATACAATCCTTTCTGATAAGTGCTTTTCTGGGCCGTCAACAACACACACCAGAGGGAAAAGTATGGGGTGCGATGTTGGTAAGGAGAATTTTGGAAACCCAACTGGAAGGGGACGCTCCCAGACGAACCCTTCAACTGCCTCATGGGACCAAGGTCATCAACGAACCAGTGGTTGGAGTGGTCCACCACCAAATCAGAAAAGGGGCTTATGGAAACGCTATCGTGGTGGAATGAGTCGGCGTGGCAGCGCTAGGGGCAGCGGTGGTGGGAAATGTAAGTACCTCAAAGTCTTTTTTCATGCATTATAGCGAGTCGTGCAAAAGAAATTTACTGACTTTCAACTCCACAGATGCGACGCCAAACTTTGACGGACAGCGACCGCTAGTACCCATGGGTCTGCAAGAACTAACGCCTGCTGATTCATACACACATTCCCATATGCATGGCGGCTATGAAGACCAGACCCACATTCATCCTGCCGCCAGCACTCCGGGTCCATCTGCTACTCGTGGTCAAGCCTCTGGGCAACAAAATCGATTTCCTCCTCGTCAATCTAGCATGAGGCACAACCATTCCTTCATGCGTGGTGGAGCAGGGCCTTCAAGCCATAACTGCATGCCACATCGTGATTTTAGCCCCAATTATGGATCACCTCTACCCCGATGGGGCCAGGGACAGCCCCAGCCAACCTTTCACCATTTCCAAGCAACCCAAAATCCTGGCAACAACCCTCCAGGTGGGCAATGGCCAGCTGCTAATCCTGAGTTCAACAACCCATATAAACCATGGGCGGGCGTTTCGAATTGGTACCACCAGGTAAATGCCCAGGGAAACAACAATATGCGCAGCCCACCAAGTTAATGTCCTCAATGCTTTATTTGATGAGAAATGGTTAGATCTGGTCTATGAATGTTCCATTTTTCTCCCCTGTGTCTTTGTCTCACCATGTCAGAAGTAAATCGCGGGATGAGCACTCGTCTTCCTAATCCTTTGGTTGTTTTCCGGTTATTCCCTAGCCCCATATCTTTCAATCAGATGGCTTTATGTGGAGTATGGAGTTGGTTTAGTTGTTTGATTTGTTTTGTAAGATTAAGTTGATACTCATCTAGAAGTCGATGTTTCGAGGACAACACCTCCTGGTTTATTTGTGAAGATTTTTGTCTCCTTCCTTGTCTTTATTTAGGCGTTCGACAATAAGTTAGTACATCCATTTAGAATTGCGACCAATCAGCAACGCACTGCAACAAAGAAATGTGAGAAGACGTTCAAAAGCAAACAATTCTCTTTGCGAAGACGATGTGATATTTATGTTAAAAACGAGACTGAAAATAAAAGGGCTACGACTTGATGATACCTATTGCTAAAATCTCTCCCACCCCCTCCATATACTTCCACTATTTCACCGATGCAACCACTTTCTCAATCTCCTTTGCTGTCTCCCTAACCTTCGGACAATAGTGCAGCCTCAATAGCTCGCCCTCCCACACGTTCCCCGCAAACACATTGCTCACCTCAACAGTCTGTGCTAACGGATCAAACACACCATCCCCCTTACGCTCCTCAGTATTCCACAACGGCGCAATTTTCCGCCCATGCTGCTTTGCCACACGAGTCAATAACGACAGCAGAGCCAGCGATGACTTCTCCGGCAGCTGTAATGAAGCGGTCATGAGCCGTTTCGTGAAGCCTGCTAGGCGGACTGGAGGAGCCGCGTTGGTTCCTTTAGCGATTAGGGTTGATTGGAGGCATCGGAGGAGAAGAACTGTGGGAGTTTGGAAGTTTACTCTGTTGTTGGCTTGGGAGTTTTCGGGGGCAGGAGTGGAAGGGTCGGGGAGGTGTAAGGGTTTATTGGGGTTGTATTCGATGTCTGGGTGTAAGGAGAGAGGGTATAGTGATTGATAGAGGTGGGTCATGAAGTAGCTGAGGTCGAGGTGGAGGGTTGAGGCAGCTTTACTGGCATCTTGGCCCTCGAGGAGAGCGAAGGCCGTTATGCAGCAGAGTAGAGCCTCGCGGGTTGTGTTTCTTGCGGTGGATTCCTCGGGGAAGTCAGTTTCGTCATTGGAGTTAGAGGCATCCGCTGTTTCTGAAGAGTTTGAAGGGTCTGCTTGCGCAATCAGTTCTTTCAAAGCTTCGAGGAGGTCACCGAAGAAGTCCTGGTTGATTAAGTGGGCGTATTTAGCAAGTCCTTCGAGCACTGCACCCATTAAGCTGGGGCTGCGGAGTTTCAGGACGCGGAAATAGGTGCCGAAGACTAGCTTTAACGTTTCTGCTTGCATCTTATCCCGTTGCTCGTGGCTGACGAGGGCATCTGCTTCCTTCATGTCTTTCGCGACTGCATTTCGTTCCTTCATGAGCTTTCGTTCCTTTTTGGTCCTAAATTCACGCTTCATCTTCGGTTTTTTCCCATTGATTGTTTCGTCGTCGCCTTCCTTATCGATCGAATCCTTTGAACCTTTAAGAGAGAATTCGGAGAGTAGACGTAAGTGCAAAAAGGTATCCAATACGCTGGCGTGAACACGATAGTCTCGGGCTTTCATCATTTTAGATAGTAGGCTGACGGCTTCCATTGACACGATCCCATCCTCATCGCTGGAAAAAAGCTTCTCGATCGTCTCCCGACATTTCACAAAGTTATCATCCACCTTCCGACGACCTAGTTGCGAGATGAGAATTTTCAGTAGTTCACCCCGGAAATTGAAATGGGGCACAGCAATAAGCAAGCTGCAGGCGCAATTGATTGCAACAGCTTTCAATCCCTCCGCGTCATCACCCTCCTTCGTAGTCCTCTGCGGCTTCGCAAACGAAGCTAAAAGCTTGACAGCATTCTGATACCCGGCAAGAAGCGATTGCTCAAAATTGCGAAGTTTCCGTACATCCTTTGATACCTTGGTCGTCGTGTCCTCCTCGCCTAACGGCCTTATTCGATAGCCAGGAATCACATCTCTATAAACAGCCACTTGTGTAGCCAATGCCAGCTTTTTCACTGCAGGGAGCGAGGTCTCCAATACCATGTCCGCCAACCTTTTAAATAAACCTGTATGTTCTTCTGGATCCTCATTTATAAGTTCCGCGATCCTTGCCAATTCCTCTTTCGCCTCTAAAATCTGGACTTTGGCAGGTATATGTGGCTTTGGCTTTTCAACAACTTCAGGCTCCGGTTGTTCACCCGCATCATCTTCGTCCGAATCGAATGGGTTTTCCGAGTCATCGTCCACAGTAGGCTCCGCGACATGCTCTATCGCTCCTTCCGCAGTCTTAATCGGGAGACGACTTTTCTCTTTCTCTCGTTTGCTGGCTTTGCGTGGGCGGCGCTCGTAGTCTTGCTCCAGGTCCCATTCCGCAGCTCGACTGTAAAAATCCTTCATAGAGGAGACATTCGTAGCTTGTGTATGAGAGTCGCCATCCTTAGACGAACTGAGCCGCCTTCTTTTGACTGAATGTACAGGTGCCATGGGTAGTTGTGTTCGTCGCAAATAGTTTTCGGTCATGACGATGTTGTTGCTCTTAGAAAAAAATAAATTTGCGATGCAGAAATGCCAAGACTTCACGCTAGCAGAGAAATTTTATTTGCGGAAAAAGATCTCCATAGCTCCAGCTCCAGGGCATCCTCCACAACGGACTTGACGTAATCGTTCTTTTATTCTTTTGTTTCCCCCCCATTCATTATCTCTAGAGTGCGTATTGCCAAGAGAATACTCCTACCGCTATGCGCGCCCTCACAGAAACGGAGACCAAAACCCTCTTCTCCAAGCTCGCAAACTACACCGGCCGCTCCCTGAATAACCTAATTGCGCCTCCCCCCTCCTCTACCACAGAAGGCGGCGAGCCCTCAGCAGACGATCGCCATGTCTTCCGCCTCCATGGCTCCCGAGTGTACTATGTGCGCCTCGCTATAGCCAACCTGGCCACTTCAGTGCCCCGCGAGAGCCTCCTTTCGTTAGGTACCTGCGTCGGGAAATTCACCAAGACTGGCAAATTCAGACTACACATCACTGCATTAGATGTGATTGCGCCACATGCAAGGTATAAGATGTGGATTAAGCCGAATGGGGAGATGCCATTCCTTTACGGGGGCAACATTGTGAAAGCGCATGTTGGCCGGTGGAGTGAGGACTGTCCTGAACATTCTGGTGTGGTGGTGCATTCGATGGATGATACGCCTTTGGTATGTTCCTATCATGGTTTATACTGCATATATATCGTACTAGTCGTTCATTGCTTGGATGATTGCTCATTACTTTTTCTTGTATAATAGGGATTCGGAGTGACTGCTAGATCGACGGCAGAAGCACGAAGGCTAGACCCCACAGGAATTACGACATTTAGGCAAGCAGACATAGGAGAGTACCTAAGAGAGGTAAGAAGAAAGATATCTCCGGGAGAAATCATAGTACCGTTTGCGCGGAGAGCGTTTTCTAACATGATGAATAGGAGGATACACTTTTCACCACGTAATTATTTGCCATACTTATTTATTTTGTTTTATTTGTTTTCGTCCATTGCTTTTGTTGAAAAGTCTGGCGTTATTGTGTAATGGCTACCACGGGTTTTCAGAGATGTTTCATGCGGGAATAAGGGTCTCTCGATTACGTTTTGCTTCAGTTGCTTTCAGGCTGCTTGCTGCCTTTGTCCTGCGTCTCACTTGTCCCCGATCTATTACTGTATTTGGTTCCGTATGTGTAGTGGCCTGCTCATACCCGGCATTCATTGCCATCGTCATCTTATTTTTTTGAATTGGAAATTGCCTGGGGATCTATAGAGTCCAACCTACCGCCACACTAAATGACAACTTAGAGGATTGATCAATAGTATAAATATCTAGACGGATACTGTAGCTATCTCAATACAGAAATTGTTTTAGAAACTATTTGGCGTTTTGCTGCTGGTTGCCTTCACCAAATGGTGATGGAAATTTACATGGTGCACGTGACTTCCCAGCATTAGCCGCGCGCTTCGGATCAGATCGGTTCGTTAGGTTAGGAGACAGCAGAAAAAGAGCAAAAGCGGCATACAACAAGGCTGATACCGAGCTTTAGCAGCTATTTTTATTCCCATCACTATTCTAAATATTACTTAACCGCTGGACAGTTCTTAAACTCTATATATTGAGTAATAACTCACCACGCTCTTGTCTTCAAATTATAAACAAACCTTACCTTACATACAGCTCAAGTCTGCACCCCGCCCCCGCCTTTGGTTTTTGTTCGCGCGTTTTGCAACCCACCGACCGTCTAGGTTGACGTTACTCCCATACACGATAAGGGAGGATACGGGTTTGAAGTCCCTCAAGATGCCGTCATTATTTTCATCGGGTCAGAAACAAATGATAGCACAGTTTATCGGCATCACAGGTGCACGAGATAGCGTTGCTGGCAAGGTATGGCAAATGATTTTTTTTTATCCCTGAAACTGACCTTGATATTAATAACGGTGTATCCGGTTGATTTCATGTATCAGTCAACTATATCCATATTTTATTAATACGCGCACTTCATATTGGTAAGATGTATACTAACTCTGTGATTTTTCATATCTAATTTCTAGCTTCTCAAAACAAACGGATGGAACGTTGAACGTGCTGTAGATGCGTAGGTTATATCTGTTTTGCTTCTTTCTAATTTTGCATCTGCCTCATTTGAACGGTGCTTTTTCTTTTCTTTTCTTTTTCCTTTTTTCCTTTCTCATTCATTTTAAGAGCAATGCTCTATAAGACCGTGTGGAATATCTCACGATGGCTGGGTCTGTGACTGCGCTTTATGAATATGGGTTGTTCTTTGCCCATGCTAAGACAAGGGATCTGGAGCAAATTACCCGGGCGTAGGAAGGCACTGAATATGCTTCTACCAAAGCATTCCCCAGGTATTTCCTGGGAAACATTTGTCCCGCGCCACCAACTCGTCTGACATGGGGATTACCTGCATCTCTATATACCACCTTGGTTCCGCAAATGAATGTGCCTTCTGCTTCACATTAGGCCAATCATAACAGAAGACACTTCCCTACATTGATTTTCCTCGACAACCGTGAATCATACGTTTATCCGCTTTTGCACATAAATTATCTTGCCTCCAGCATATCAACTTCCAGCCAGCAATCACCTACTCACATCCCTTTCTTTCTTTCTTTCTTTCCTCCTCCCTCACCACCACGGATATTTCTTCTAGTAGAGCTATATTTGATGGCGGATTGATCTCCAGCTCTCCAACACTATTCCTATCCGTCATCCCTCTCTCCGCAAGGAAGGCTCTCAGCACTGAAGCCCTGAATCGAGCAAAAGGACGTAGGGTCCCAGCATCTAAGCCCGTGGATTTCAAAGCTCACTGATAAAAACATTCCGGGCTCTAAAGCAGCCAACATGCCATCTCGCCGAGCGCAGCGGGTGCGGGCCACGTATGATTTGCGGCCATCATTGCATGCTATACAAGTCTTTTTTGCCTGACCCAGCGTCTATACCCCCTATCCCTAAAACTGGGTTGCCGTAGCAAGCTGACTTTCCTTCCACGCAGGTATTATCAGAACTCAGCAGAAAGCGCTTCTAATGCCTCGGTTGCGGATCTCAACAAACTATTTGATAGTTATCGCGGTATGTTGCAACCTTTTACCAGAGGTGTCCACATACCAAAATAATCGTGTCCTTCTGACGATGCAGATAGACGACCCTGCAGAGAACCCAGATACCATTGGGGTTGAAGGCGCGGTTAAGTACTTAGAGGCCATTAACGTGCAATTAGATGAAGTTGTTTGTCTTGCCATCGCAGAACATCTACGATCTCCATCCATAGGAGAATTTACAAGAGAACCCTTTATTGACGGTTGGAAAAATGTTAAGTATGTTGCCCACTTTTTCAAATATCATCTCTCCCGAATCCCTCCTCTGTTTCTTTCCGTTATTATCGCCTACTCCTTTTGTTTCCCTCGTTTATGAACATCTTTCAAGAATTTCACAGCCACTTCTGCAGTTACTAACTCAAACGAAGCTGCGACACAATCTCGAAACAAACTTCCCACGCTGCATCGCTTCGCGCCCGCATCCCCAACGAACCCGACCTTTTCCGCCGTGTGTACCGTTACACCTTCCTAATCTGCCGCCTGGCGGGCCAGCGCAACCTCAGTATCGATATCGCTACGGAGCAATGGCGACTCTTCTTCACCAGCTCCAATGGTGGGATCAACTGGAACACACGCAGCACACCCTGGCTCGATTGGTGGATTGAGTTTATTGAGAGGAGTTGGAAGAGGCCTGTCAACAAAGATCTGTGGGAACAGGTTGAAGTGTTTATGAGGAAGACGAAGGAGGATGAAACTTTTAGCTGGTGGAGTGAGGATGGCGCGTGGCCGGGTGCCATTGATGAGTTTGTTGGGTTCGTACAGGCGAAGAGAGGTGGCAAGGGGCCTGCGGCGGAGGCTATGGAGGTTGAGTGAGCGGCCAAGGAAGTGATTTTTTTTTCCCAACTAGATGGCCTGTTCATTCCATGATGTCTTGTGTATGTGGGTGAGGAAAGGAGACTGCGTATTTCTAATGGATTTAGAACGACTTTTATTTACGATCCGTAGCATATCTATCTGGACAACTGCGAGGCTCAAGTTGGTGGCTACCATGTTCGTTTATTATTCATTGCCGAGGGACGTCTAGGAAAGCGGGAGGAGAAGTGGATGGAAATGGCCGAAATATTCTGAAACAAAGATCAACAGGCAGAAATTAGACAAGAATGAAAGAAATGGCTCGGGTGTTACACTGTTGAGTACCTACACATATATACAAGGTATATATTCCGTATTGCGGGTGGTAAAAAGGGCGCTTTTATATTTCATAGGATCGTAACGCACGTATCAAGTAAATCATAGACCAATTAACAAAAGATAGTCAAGGTCAATAGCGGAAGGAGGAATATGATTAGTGACTTTCTCAGAGCCAGCTGGAAAGCAAGATTTTCATTGTCATAAATCGACGACCTGCACCATCGGGTTTTGAATATGCCAAAACTTGTATCAAGTATCATATAGAGCGGAAGAGCAAGATATCACTGCGCAGCCAAAGAAATGGAGGTGTGCGGGCAATTGTTTTGCACATCTACCTACCTACATGTAGAAAGCAAGGGGATTTGAGAAGCAGAACAAAGTAGGGGGGTAGAAAATCAATATGTTGCTTATTAAAGGACATGTAACAGAAGTGTTGCGGTAATGTGTGTGTTCAATGCAAGATTAGCTTGAGGCGGGGACTGATAGACGAATGGAAGGAGAGTCGTGTTACCAACCAGCCAACTTGCGATCATGGGTAGGGTAGGGAGCGCGATGAATCTTGAAGGCCGTTAACCCGTAGTCGTAGACACTCTGGAGGTATTTCTGGGTCGAATAGGAACGCACCATCGTGGTTCTCCCAACCTTATAATGGTTTAAAATATAGCCCCTGCTGCAATCACACCGAAACTGCTAATATTTCTTCTGCGTCGTTCAGCATGTTTTCTTCTTGTCACTCTAGCCTGCTCCTTGACTGTTCAGCAGTAAATATGTCAGTTCAACCTGTACGGGTCATAACGGAATGAACGAACAGAAACTAGAATATATGGGCAGGTAGGGCAAACAGGTCCTTACACTCGTCCCATGTCAAGGACTCCTTCGTAATGTCCTTTGCCTCCCGCCAATTATGCATACACCACGCCGCAATGAAGAAGTCGAGGAATGCCTTCTCCAGAGCATCAATGTCTGTTTTCAACTCCAGAGTTGGTTTATTTATCTCCACTTTATTCTTGGTATCCCAACGCCTCCTCGTCTCGATCGCAAGGAGTATACCGTCCTTGTCCTCTGCCTTGGATTTTACCCTTGTTTTCTTGCCTTTCAGCCTCCATTCGTAAAATTGCCCATCAGCCTCTTGAGTAGCTTCCGAGTCACTTGACCTCCTTCTCGCAGAGAGAACTGGCCGAGCTTCCAAGGAAGGCAAGCCATCCCCGCGAGCGGTCCAGCCATATCCGTATCTTGTCATACACTTGTTCATCTTCCCAAGCTTTTCGGAAAGATACTGCCGTCCGTCTATAAGTAAACCTCCAGTGGAGGACAGAAGTTGTGCTGTTTCCCGGAGAGCAAATACATCCTGTCTAGAGACATCACTCCCGGGAATTTGATATCTCTGGGCAATGCTATTAGGATCGGGCTTTTTCTTCCCAAGCCGTGTTACTAGGATGCCAGCTCCTAGTTCGTAACCGTCCAACTCGTGGGAGAGACTGTAGAGTGGGCAGTCGGGACATTTTGATGAAACAACGTATTTACCATCGATTGTGAGGATCGTGGGTTGTTCTGAATCTGCGGTGCTGGGCGCTTGGCCCAGGGAACCAGGAACATGGGAAACGAGCGTCTCATAGGCTGGAGGAGCTTCCACAGGCCGTGGTGGGCCGCTGTCCTCGTAAGCAGGTGGTGGACCTTTATTATGATCTGGATCCATCACGGTGCACGCTAGGAAAATAGACCTGATTTCGTCTTTGGCTAGTATTGTATTCCCTAGTAACAAAAATTCCGGAGCCTAAGGTTAATGGCAATGTGTTTATATGTCACTTGAAAGGCATCGTAAAGTAGGGCATTTAAGGTCGTCAGGCAGGGATGGGGCAGTGCATTAATAACTGGAGGCAATATGGGAGAATTCGCCAATGACGACATATCATAGTAAACATTCAAGTAGCGGAAGGAAATATTATTCAGCGCAACTTAATGTGCAGGCAGGCAGCTAGTAACCCGCAACGCTTGATGGCGGGCATTATTTTCATTCAAAGGTAACGTACGAAAGTGATATAAAATTAATTGTTGCTGAAGATTGTCCAGAGCTTGCTGAAACCCAACGTGGTAACCTTTACATCACGTGATGATTAATACGTCAAACAAAGCAAACAACCACCCAGAAGAGTAGTTAGGCTTCTTTTTCTCCGGGCTTCGACCGCGCGCTGTTCAAGGCTCAGCAGAAAATCGGGCGATAAGCAGAACATCCACAATTCCGTTAACTAGTCCACGTCTATTTGCTGGGCCATCCTCGCTCCTTCTGGGTGCCCTAGTTAAAACCGAGCAACCGACTAAACTAAAGTCATGAACGCCGCGATGCAGCCCAACTACCGTGGATACCCCCCGACCACTCACCATCGTCCTCCTGCCACTCCGCGTCGAGGTGTCCCAATCCCTGGTGGGTTTTTTTTCCTTGTCCCGTTTTGTGCATTGTTTGCTTACTACAGTCTATTTTTTTCACCTTGAATCGCGACACTTGCTTTTTGCAAGGGTGTAACTATATGTATTAACCTTGTGTACAATCTCCAGGCCCCATGATGCCGGTCCCTCTCGCACAACATGCAGTTCCGAACCCTCAGCTCGCTCAGCGCAATGTCCCCAATCCTATAGATACTGCCTTGCGACGGAGTCGGAAACCAACAGACAAAAATCTTCCAGATGGGTTGGAGGAGTCAATCATAGGAGATGGTGTTACCCAGTACAAAAATATGCGAGATGTCGAGAAACGTCTGGATGCGGCGATGATGAGGAAGAGATTGGATATTCAAGATTCCGTCAATAGATCCGTGAAAAGATTCCGAACGTTGCGGGTATGGATCTCGAATACCGTAGAAAACCAGCCGTGGCAGCGGGAACCAGGACAGGACGGTAACGGGAGCGGGCGTTACAAGGTCAAGATCGAAGGAAAGTTGCTTGATAACCAACCCGATACCTTTGATTCAGAAGGAAGCGACAGCGACGACGAACAAACTAAGACGAATGGCCAGAGAGACCCAGATGCGATGGAGGAGGACTTGCCGCAAAAGCAGAAAAAACGTACCAAGAAACACTCTCTACCACAACGGAAGCGCCTGTCCCATTTTTTCAAGTCAATCACCGTTGAACTTGATAAAACCGCGCCCTCTGGCGTCGCAGATCTAGCGACTATCAATTGGACAAAACCTGCCATACCTTCCAGTGCGGTGTCATTACCCCCCAGCGCGGATTTTGACTCTCTTGAGTTTTCTCGGGCTGCGGAAGTCAATCTCAATGCCACAATCAGTCTCGTAAGAGACGAGAACCCAGAGCGTTTCAAGCTAAGCAAAGAACTAGCGTCCATCCTGGATACGGATGAGGAAGCCCGCGGCGGCATTGTCCTCGGCATATGGGAGTATATAAAAGCGATGGAGCTTCAAGAAAGTGAAGAAAAACGCGCAGTACGATGCGATGATCGACTGAAAGCCGTATGTCAAACCAAAGTCGTACCACTCCGTTGACCTTCATATCCCTCACCTAAATCAGTCAACTAATCAAGAAAAAAAAAAAAACTCCACAGCTCTTCAACCGAGATAAAATGTTCTTCCCCGCCATCCCCGACAGCGCCAGCGCCCACACCTCTCCCCTCGACCCCATCAAACTCCCCTACACAATCCGCGTCGACCGCGAATTCCACACCAACCCAACACCCACGGTCTATGACATCCGAGTCGCCGTCGATGATCCTCTCCGCGCCAGAATGCTCGCAATCACAACGACACCAGACTACCCCAACATGCTCCGTCAAGTTGCCAGTCTCGACGACCAACTCGCCCTCGTTGTCCAGGCACTCACGCACTCCAAGGCTAGACACGCATTCTTCCAATCGCTGAGCCAAGACCCGGCGAACTTCATCAGGCGCTGGACGAGTAGTCAGAAACGGGATTTGGAAGTTATTATGGGCGAAGCGACGCGCGGTGGCGGGGAGGATGGGAGTGGGGCGGAGTTTAGACGCGGGGGAACGAACAGTGCTTGGGATACGCCTGTTGCTGCGGAAGCGGTGAGGTATATGCTTGCGAAGCCGGGGCGGTAGGTCCAGAGACGCAGAACGGAGATAGGGAAGGTTTTTGTGAAAACTCGAGTTTTTGAGTTGGGTTGGGTTTCCCAAATTCAGGAACCTCTACGAAGCACTGATTACACTGCGACGAGTTAGTTCCGGACCCTGTGAAGGCTCAGATTAGAAGGGGGGATGGATATGTGAAGCCTATATTAATCTTTTATGATAGTTTTGGCTCGGCGTGAAATTTCATTTGAATGGGTAGATGGGATTATTGTTCCTTCTATAAAGATTCAATTTTCAATTTTTATTCTCCATAAGAATTGTACGTGTACTGAGTAAAGCCATGAAGTTGGATATATCTAAAGTATCCCCACTTGATGCAAGTATAGATCTTGAATATGAGTCTTGAGAAGAATGTGATAAAAATAGAAATTGAAAGCATAACAGCTATAAAAGAATTCTGTTAACAACTATAATTCATTTTTTACAGAAATGAAAAAGTAAGAAAAGAAATACTCCAATTTGAGATATGTGATTACAGCCATTATTCATGAATAGTACTCATTTACAGATTACACAATTAATTAAATGTTCTCAAAAACATGTGTGTTGATTGCGTGTTGAACCGGATCAACCTGCTGGGTAGATGGGCCTCCCTCATCTATCCCTCGAAATACACCAGAATCGCCAGGGCTGGTTGGGCATGGCAAGAAAATTACTTTACTTGACGCTGTCTTGGCCATTGCTTGCATTGTCTCCAGATATCTGATTTGCATGGCGGGTGCAGAGGAGAGGATGTCGGCGGCGGTTCTCATGAGCTACGGGGTGTAACGACGTTAGTGGAATTAAGCTATAATGAGAAAGAAAACGTATAGGCGTATATGCAGGGGAACGGCAGAAGAACGGGTATTCACGAACCTTAGCTGATTCCACCTCAGCGCGAGCAGCGATAACCTTACTCTCACCAATACGCTTGGATTGCGCAGCCATTGACAAGGATTCTTGCAGCTCATTGCTGAAGATGATATCCTTAATCAGCATGGACTCGACCTGGACACCCCAGCCCGCAGCAACTTCCTCGATTATATCTCCGATCGATTGGGCGAGCTCCTCGCGGCGTTCGATGACATCCTGTAGCACACGTGCTCCGACAACATGGCGGAGGGTAGTCTGTGTCCGTTCAACAAGCGCCTGGCGGATATTTGTAATTCCAAAGGCAGCCTTGTGGGGGGAGGTAATGTGGTAGTAGATAACGGATGTAAGATTCAAAGTGACGTTATCCTTTGTCATACAAACTTGTCGGGGAACTTCAACGATCTGGATCTTCACATCGACTGTAGTCAAGTGTTCGCTGAGTGGATTAACTTTGACCAGACCGGGATCGACAGCGCGTTCGAAGCGACCGAACCGCGTCACCAAGCCGACTTCACCCTGGGCAATGGGCTTGAAAGGGTTGGGGCAGCAGAAGCAGCAAGGGATGGCGCCCAGGAAGCCGATGCTTTCACCCAAAGTGTGGACTGGACAACGGTTTGATGTCAGTTTGCTGTTTTCAAGAAGGGATATTTGATAGCAAGCGATGTTATATCTAACTTACTCATCGACGCATACCAGCCGTGGACGGTGGCGTCGCCATCGGGATGCTTGAGTACTTGAGCATAGCTGGGCTGCAAATCCTCGAGGCGCGCTGGCTGCACAGTCACAACGCCATTGTTTGAAGGCCGAAAACCCACGTTGCTAGGGAGTGGCACTGGCGCTGGTGCTTTTTGGTTGGATGCCAGAAGAGCGGAATCCTCCCAGTTTTGCGCGGACATTTTGAACGTGATGCGCGCGTATCGATGCGATCAACAGACTATGTTGATGTATATGAGTTCGGTTTTGATGGATGGTCTGAGGTTGGAGGTTGGAGTTGGAAAGTGTGTTGTAGGCAATGGACGGATGGATGCGCAGACTATGTAACTGGAAAGTGGAACCCGGCTGCTTTATAGCTTGGAACGGGGGGTTGCGAGACTACTCTGCTGCTAAACTACTAACTACCGAGCGCCAGGGATGCGCAGCGAAACTGATACCTTGGGTGACGAAAGAATTTAGAGAAGGGATTGCTGCTTGTCTAGGTTCTTGCTAAAGAGAAGAAGATCTCCTCCGTCTAAGTTACCATGTTCTGTTGTTGCTTCGGGAGCCGCAACTGGCTTTCATAATTTATACATCTGGGGTAGTAACTTTTTACTTTCCTCACCTCCGATCTCCGCATTTTAACTCCAACCTCTGTGCCCTATTCAACCACAAGGAGCAAGCTTCATACAACAACTCTGGCGCTATAATTTATCGGGTACCGATCGCCTCGACGTCAGCCCAGCATACGAGGGATCTCCAAAATCGTCTATAGCTACATCCTTCCGGTTCCCAGCGCATGAAATCAGATCATTAACTTATATGTTTCCTGACCTACCTAGCCAGGCAGACAAAAGGGAACTAACTACCTAGGCATGTAGGCGATCAACTCCTGGCAAACTCTCCTTTCGAAACGATTAAGCGTAGTAATATCTAGCCCCGTTTCCTTTCGATGTCGGTGCTGTGCTCGACAGAGAAACCCGATTGAGAGCGGCAAGGAGGAACGTTTAATTTTGATCGTTAACAAGGACTATTTTTATCCCACTGCGGCGGGCGTGGTCCACAGTGGAGCAATCCCCGCAACCTTCTAGCCTGGGGGCGTTTTAGCGGGACCGGCCCTGCGCGCTTCTCGTCCCAAGCAGCATCAAGTGACCAAATATTCCCTCAGTAGTTAGGTAACTAGTTAACTTACTCTTGCCAAAAGACTACATTTTGCTGCCAATCACACCAGACAGCAAAATACCTGTGCACAGAGTTCGAGAACAATAATAATAAATTCCTGCCACATTTCTGTCCGTCTAAGCCACATCCCCCAGCAAACGTACAATTGGACACCCAACCCCAACCCCAAACCTGTCCTCCGCTCCGGTCCTCTACGATAGGATGAGCGGGGAAGCTAGCCAAAGGCTTGGAAGTTGGATCAGACATAGCCCTCTTTAGCAAAGTCTCCGGAGGCCACTGGTTGGCTAGTATATTTAACCTTCCTATCGCAAGGGCATTTCGGATCAAAGCCAATTATGAGAAGTGAATTTAAGGAGAGGTGGACCGAGAGGAGAGGAGGATTTTAACATGGATGTAATTCTAGTTAACCCGCCTAGATCCTACATTAATGATGGGCTAAGCCGGGGAGCCATTCAATGTTTGCCAGACGGCTTGCGCGCCTCGCAACGACTCGCGCAACTCACCCCTAGCCAAACTGAAGAGAATCATTTCCTTCTGAGTAACGGAGCATGATCGGCGGTACGCTGCGCAATTGCGCCGAAAGTATTAAACAACTCTACTTCCTAGCGTTTGAATCCACATATGAGGCTACCCAGGCATGGTAAACCTATCCACGGATCTTACCTCGCCATACATCAGCGAATGAGGGGCTTGATTATGCCCATGAAATTTTCGGAAGATGTTCTAGAAGGCGGAGCGCATAGACGAGCTTCATGTGATTAGCCAGTTTCGTCCCCCCATTTCACCTGATGCGGCACCCTCATCACCAGACATAACCACATCCATTCTCAGCAAAGGTCCTGGGGGGACTTGTTGATGGGTGGGTTCCAAAATGCTGAATCATATCTTTATCAGTAGTTTGACTGCCTGCGCTTTTCCTATAACTGACAGTCGCAATGCCATTCACAGTTGACCTATAGCTATCTGGAGAAGAGCCGCAAGTTCCAATTCGCCCCCCCTAATACCTCACTTCCCCCAGTGTGGTGTTTGTGGCCAGGCTGTCCATTTGCCTTGCTTGAAGCAATCATGGGATGAGCCTCTTCTAGCAGCAATCCAGGACCTAAAAGATAAATGCGATGCGAGGCTAGTCTAACAATGACAAGATAGGGCTCTAAAACCAATCAATGAGTGACTTACTTCAACATGATAGTCCCATAACTTCGTTTCCTACCAAATAGAAGCCGTATATTACCACTACGAGTTGCCGTTCAGCTCCCGTTACGGGCTCCCCTCCAAGAAACCACTTACTGAAAATAATGGCGCTCAGCACAAACATATCCGGACCGCAGAGTAGCCTCCCCTTCTCTTTTCCGGGCAGATACTCACCGCAGTGGTGGGCCTACCCTGCCAGATGTCCGCCTATTTCCTACCAACAACACCAGCTTACATCCCTGCTCGTGGACAACGGGAAGGGGCGATCGACGAGCGACGACGATGGCCGGGCAGACTGAATGTGTTGCATCTTGGTTCTCTTACCTACCTACTCTTCAGCGTGTCTGACCGGCAATGTGGAAAAGAAGGTACAGGGACAAAGGTCTTCTAGCAAGGAACTAGAAGAAAGAAAAAGAAGTTAAATCCAAAAATCGAAAATCATCGATGATTTCGTCCCATTCTTCTCAAGAAATTCTTTTTCTGGATGGATTTTGCGCCGTTGTCGCGTGATTTTTAACATTGGATTTACTTTCTTCTCTTTATTTCTTTTCTCCTTGCTAGGCGGCGGCCACCGAAGGAATATGTGAATGAAGGCGGTCTTATAATTAACTGTGAAATTCGATGCTTTATCACTAGACTGAAAGTGAACAACATCCTTACATATGTAGTATGTACATGTACCAACCTTGGGTTTGCAGCCACAACTTCTATCACCCCATTAGCAAACTAAGCTAGGAACTTAGAACAAAAAAAATAATCCCGAGAGTTTAAAAAAGCCCCTTCTAGAGAGCTTGAAGCATGGATCTTGGACACTCAAAAGGACCGTAGTATGCCACAAGTTCGAGAAAAAGGGCATGAGGATTTAGGCGCGCGAATCTGAATCTAAGCGCTCGCTTAGATAATTAACGCGGGAACCGCTAGCCAGCCATTGCTTCAAACTGGCTAGAAGGGGCGGATCTTTTTTCAGTTTATATTATTTTTTCATTTTATTATTTTTTTTTTTCATTTTTTCATTTTCATTTTTTTCATTTTTTCTCTGTTTGAGTCACTTTATACATAGGTGGCAAACAATTTCCATTTTCTTCTACTTTTTAGAACTAGTGAAATAAGCTTTTCCTCTGCTTTCACATGTAAATTTGTCTGTCACATGTCAAATAGAGCTCAAACTACCTCTGGAAAAAAAAAAAAAGAAAAAAAAAAAAAAAAAAAAAAAAAGAAAAGCAAAAAGAAAACAGGAATGATGATATCATATTTTGAACATTGTCTCAACAAAGTGGAAACAAAATCAATTATCACAAGCTAGAATATGTATTTTCAGATGAAAGAATGAAATGAAAGAAGTAGAGAGAAACTTTCCAGTTTAGAACTCAAAAGATACTAGATTTGTTATAAATAATTAGTGAAAAAAATTAACCTAAAGTAAGCAAGTTATGCAGAGAGGCACTAGCAGAGAGAATAGTACAGTTTTGATGATACAACCTGAGACACATAGAAGATGTCAATGATGTATGAGAGAGGAAAAGTCGGTAAAAAAAAAAAAAAAAAAAGCACAGGAATTGGCAATTGGCAATGGAAAAAATCAATAATGATAAATGATAGAACACCCTGTCCACTGAAAATAAAAAAAGCAATCAAATACCAGACAAGAGTGAAGGAACAATCTCGCCCCCCAAAAAAAACCCTCAATATCACACAAGTAGCAGCTATGGATGAAAGAAACTGAACCCATTCAGTAATTAGTACCAACAAGAAGACAAACACTTTTTAAATCTAAAAGGAGAAAGAAGGTCTTTTTTTTTTTCATCTTTTCTTTTCTTTTCTTTTTTCTTTCTTTTTTTTAGGGGGGGGGGGTCAATTGTCTAGATTGAGAATCAAGGCTTGGACAGACTTGAAAGAGTCATTCATCCCTCATCTCACTGCTTCGAAGGTTTCTGCTTCGAAGCCTTCTGCTTCTTCTCCGAAACAACCTCAACGCCCTGCCTCCCCTTCTCCTCAGCCTTCGTAATGTATGACCTCAACCACGCCAACGATTCTGACGTGATAGTCAGGCCCGTGGTGATCACTGCCTTGCCGACAGTAACGTATCCATCGCCGCCACCGCAGTTCTTGTACTCGGACGAATACACCTGGAGCACATGATTCTTGCCCTCCTCAACAACACGCAGTGGCAGGTGGATGTATCCCTTGAGAGTTCCTTTGATGGTCTCCGTGTCCTTCGTGACGATGGGGAACCGGTCTTCGACGCGCTTGAGCCCTTCGTCGCCGAGGGAGTCGGCTTTGGCGACGTAGGGGCGGACATAGGTGTAGGGCTTGGAGAAGAAGGGGAGGACGGGCTTTGCGTAATTGGCGTAACCTTGGTCGGCGAGCTGGAGGGACTTTTGGCCGTAGGGGTGGTTCTTGAAGTAGGTAAGGGAGTCGGAAACTACAGGGAGGGTGGAGAGGTGCTGCCAATGAATATATAGGTTAGAGAGCTAACAGGGAGCAGGAGGAGTGATGAGAGGGGAGGCACAAACATGGAGGAACTGGGAGGATGGCTTTTCGCCATTGACGATGGGTTCACCCATGTTGAGTGGTGGTTTGTTTATTGAAAATAGGATTCTGTATGGCGATTAGTGGGTTTTCTATTATTACTAAGGAGTAAAAAGGACGGTATGAATAGGCAAATATAAATATATACTTACTATACAGGTAGCAGGTGATGCAATACGTCAGGACTGAAGGTGTATCAAGTAATATATATATGGGACTATGGATAGGGGATAAATTGCGAAGCAGTATGCAGTAGTTGTGTTCCTAAGAAAGTTATAGGTAGATGGAGGAAGAGAAGAAGAAAACAGCAAAAGGTGGGAAGAAGAGGGGAACCGGGTTGTTGTTATTATGACTATGAAGCAGAGAACAGGAAAAAATGAGGAGAGAGATCAAGACCAATCCAAAGCCAAGAACCCCTCAGGCAGAAGGGAAAACGTGCGTGCACCTACCTACCTCTTGCTTCCCAGCTTTTCCGCAGCAAGCAACAACCGCAAAACTCTCACCCTTTTCCTTGTCGTTATTCGAACTCTACTAATAGCCCTGGAGCTTTGCGCTTCTAGATCCCGCCTTGCAGCGAATCAGCGCCCAGGGTCGCCCGTGTGTGAGCTCCTGAGCCCGAGCTGCTGGCCACTTACTACCAGGGCCGGAAGCATGTGAAAGTGGCCAGGCCGGCGGGGTACAGAGGTAAGCATAGTCTACGTATGTACAGTACGTGTACAGTACATGTATAGTATATGTACCGTACCTGCGCCTGTACCTGTGCAGACATGCATGATGTTGGGGGTCCCGCGGTTGATCGGCCCTTCTACCAGCAGTGCGCTGGTGGTGACTGAGCTCTTTTGCCCCAGTAGCCTACAGGTTATGAGACCATTAAGTGTGAGCCCCGCTGTGGTCAACATGCATGGGTTTGATCCCAGAATGGACTTAAGAATTCCAAACAAATACCCTGGACATTTAACAGTGCCAAGAGACATCCTAGGAGTGTGCCCTAGAAGTCCCTTGAGCCCTAGGACTGAGTCCACTGAGAGGAGCCACTATGGGGAGCCACTGAAAGGAGCCACTGAGAGGAGTACTGTACTCTGTGGTAGCTGGTCCGAGGGGTGTTGGGGGTCCCGCGGTTGATCGGCCCTTCTACCAGCAGTGCGCTGGTGGTGACTGAGCTCTTTTGCCCCAGTAGCCTACACATGATTATTATGATTATTAATAAAATATTGACTCGCCTGTTGCTTTTGGCTTCTGTCTACTTGCCAGTTTTCCCAGTCTTGATCTCTCCCCGTAAGTTTATCCACGGCCAGCACTCACTAATGAAAGATAAGTTAACCACCACACCAGCACAGCGCCCCACGTTCGATAGTAAATCTCTTCGCAATATCTGTCCTCTCCCCAAGGAATTTTTGCAAACAGAATATGTAAGTTTACATTACTTCGTGATATCATTGACACAGGTCCCGCTCCAGTTGCATATAACTATGTAGTTAGTCAATGGGCCAGTTTTTACGGCAGCCTATTTAATATTTCAGTCAAATGGATTTTTTTAAAGACACGAACTAATTATACTAATCTGAATGTAGCTAGTGTATTACTATATATAATTTAGTCAGTCTTGGCTTTAGGTACCGAGTCTCTCAGATAGAGTTCACCCAGGTATATAGAGACCTGAGTACCCTAGTCCAGGTCAAGACCCCCCTTTCAATAAACCTCCAACGAGAAGATCTTGATTACTAATAAATCAGTATCATCAATGCATGCACCTTGTAACAACTAGTTTTGTCGCGTCGCATGGCGCCAATTCCCCGCATACGGTAGTCTATAGTGACAAATGTGTCAAATGGCTTTTTTCTTATCTCAGCGGGCTCAGACCCTCTGGCTCGTGTATACAAGGTGTATACAGAAAACTTGACCTCGCTAAGTGCGCCACTTGACCTCATTACATAATCATGACCCTGACCTCGCACAATACAGTAATAATCAGTTGATAATTGACTTTCAATCTTTCAATTCACTCATTCATTCATTCATTCAACTTATCAATCAATCAAAGCATGTATAACTGATTCATAATCAATTAAATAAACAGATAAATTCATATAGAATATAAAGAGATGTTTTACAGAATTAAATATATTGTAGCGGGCTGCGCCCGATCATTATATAGACTATTCCTTTACACTTCATAGATTCCGCTGAAAGCTCCGATTCTCGGTCATTCTTGATCACCGATCCTCAGCTGAAAAACCCATGGAATTCCTATTCTTCCACCCCGAAGCTCCACCACGTACACACTGTGTATGCATATAAATATTCACTTCAATTGCTGATTCTCACACTTTCTCTTTCTTTTTCTTCTTTAATGTTTTTCACTTTGTTATATAAGATCTATATATTATACTTAGGACACCCTGGGCCTAGCAAGGACCTAGGTGAGACGAGGCCTAGGCGCCCTTAATAGGTGGTTAGTGCAAGCAAGACTGTGACAGTCAATTGATAGGCTGGAATGCTGAGATTGACAGTCAGAAGGTTAGAGACTTAACTAGAATTGAATAGCTCTGATGTTATTCTTAGTGAGAATCTCACTTATGAGTAAGCTAGTTATAGAAGCTAGCTGAGCAGCAGCTCTTTAGAGGGAATGATAATCCCTGAAGCAGGCCTGAGAGAACAGAGATGACAGTCAGTTATATAGAGTGTTAAAATATGTATATAGCTTAAGATATAAACTGCAGAGATCTTGTTCTGTAGCTCTCTTTACTTTATCTTTTTCTTTCAATTCTTTTCTATCTATCTATTTAATGTGTCTATCTTTAAGACTGTGTTCTCTTTTCCTTTGTCATGATATTGTCAAATGATTTCAAAGTATCAGAAGATGTTAAAACACTGTAATTTATAAACAGTTTTTGTATTCTGAGCTGGAATTTTCTGATTTTGCATATCTGAAATTGATGAATGTATAATAGTTAACTTTACAGATATAGGAAAAACCCTGAGAACTAAAAGTTCTCAGGTAGATGTCATAGTCTCTGACTGTATACATCTATAATTGAAGAATAATAATAATAATAATAATATATATTATACTGATCTATTCAGTGTAGGCCTCTTACACTTGAAAAACATTCATTGTCTTCTTATTAGAAACAATTACTCACTGAGATATCTAAACATGTAATAACATGTAAGAAATAGAGAAACAGTTAAATAGTTAAGTAAACACTGAGTTCTCAGATAGAAGCTTGCTTATCAGTCACTCTGACTCTATAATAAGATCTTATAAAGAGAATAAGATTTTATAAAGAAAATGTCAGTAAAAGATCTGAGAGTTCTGATACTATAAATGTATAAGATATTCATATAATTACACTTCTTCTGATTTCACAGATATCATATATCTGATAATCAATATAATCATGTCTAATAATAGTATGAAAGAACTCTTGAATATAAGTATAGATACAGTATCACAGTAGCTCTGAGTAATATTAAAACTATAATAATAATAAATAGCTGATATGCATGTAACTTAATTATATTAATATAAAGAGATTCAATGATTATCTTAATAAGAAACTCATACAATTTCAACATCTGCAGAATTAAATATAAAAGCACTGAAAGAATACTTAGATACTTCTATGTATTTTAATGCTTCTGATCTCACTCTCTACTCATTATGAAGAATGAAAATACTTGTAAAACTGAGTGTAGATAAAGATATCATTAATTTACTAATCAATTAAAGTTAATATATTAATGAATAATTGAAGAATCATGTGAAATAGAAGTTTTATTCATGAATAAAAGCATGTGAATCAGCATTGCAAATGTCTGATAATATTATTAAACATCTTAATATTCTGATCTGAGACACTGCTATACAATAGAAAGTATTAGATTGATTACAGAGTATCTGACAGAGAAATACTTCTCTTATAACATTTATTTCTGACTTTGATATTAAGATTCTAGAAGCAGATAATCAATCTTAAGAGAATTGAATGAAGATTAGCATGCTTAAGAAGATATTAACTTTTAAACTCTTACAGACTCTTGTAAGTATAGATGAAGATCAAACTTATGAAGATTTCTGTATATAACTCTGAACATTAAATGACTGTCTTATCAAGCTCAAGAGTATACAGAACAGTGATAGAAGATATTATACTTATACATCTGTGCTGAGAAATAACTCAGTCACTCATACACCTGTGCTGAAGAATAATAATGATATAGATGTTATAAATTGAGTAGACTTGAATATCTACACATAAGTAAAAGTCTCTGTCATCTGAACAGACTTCTGAGTTTCTGGGATTACTTCTGAAGAAGTCACTGATTAATGTTAATAAGAAGTGTGTATTAACTGTAACTGATCAGAATATATTGCTTTCAACTGTCAATCAGTCTATATATCTTCTCACTCAAAGAATGAATCAGTGTCTGTTCACATCAATTACATTGCAGTGAAGAAAGATTTAGAAGATAACTATAAGAATATCTCAATGAAACAGAGAAAAGATTAGCTTCTGTTTAAATTTATAAACAGAAGCTTGAAGAGATTGAATGATAATAATTTGAAGAGAAAATGATAATAAATATGATTCTTGTATCTACTGTAATCAATAATATGTATAATATAAAAGCTATGATAGACAGTGATCTATATCATTATACAATGATTAAATCTTCAGTTATAAGATATTACAATCTTCAGTGTATTCTCTTATCAAAACTCTGACTTCTCACAGAATTTAATAACTCAAAAGACATTTATACTTATTATATAATGAAGTTGAACATAGATGTCAGAGAACATCAATGTGAAGATGTCTATGTATATGAAGTTGATAATCTTGATTATAATCTTATATTAGAACTTATCTGACTATGTGAATAAGATATCTTATTAAACACTTGAAACAGAAGCTTAATATTCTCTAACAATAATAGAGTTCATGAAGATGATATTCACAAGACTATGAATCTGACACAGATCTCTGTCAATGTCTATGAAATACTCTGAAAAGAAAGTTACTGAAAAGATCACTGATAGTAGAATTATATAACAATCTATTTCATCAGTCTGACTGATATTAAGAAAGCTCTAGAGAAGTTATTCTGTACTATAATAACAGATTCTTATATAAAACTCTCTTAATAATATCATGAATATCTAGATGTCTTCTGACAAGATAACACTATTAATATATCTCTTTTATAAGACTCAGAAGTAAATCACAGTATTAAGTTAGAAAAGAAGAATGATAAGAACTCTGAGTTATCATGAGGCCTTCTTTATAACATGTCTTGAGATGAACTTCTTCTTCTTTGAAAGACACTCAATAATCTGTTAAATAAGAGATTTATATGTATTAGTAACTCTTTCACTGCAACTTCTATTCTCTTTACAAAGAAATCAGATAATGAACTCTGATTCTGTGTAAACTATTGAGAATTGAACAGATTAATCAAGAAGAATCACTATTCTTTATCTCTTATTAATGAAACTCTAGCTCATATCAGATAAGCTCAATAATTTATAAAATTAAATATCATTACTGCATTTTATAAAATCTGTATCACTAAAGAAGATAAATGACTTTCAGTATTCTGAATATGTTATAGTCTCTTTAAATGAATAGCTACACTCTTTGAACTGATCAATGCTCTCAGTACATTTCAGAAGTATATCAACTGAGTACTTCAGAATTTCCTTGATAAATTTGTATCTATATATCTTGATAACATTCTCATCTTCACTGATGAGTTCAGAAAAGAATATCAAGAACACATGTGAAGAGTATTACAATTATTATAAGAAGCAGAACTATCAATAGATATTAATAAGTATAACTTTGAAGTCAAGAGTATCAAATATCTAGATTTTATCATAGAAGCTGATAAGAGAATTTAAATGAATCTCAAGAAAGTCTTCATCATTCTTGAATAAAAAGCTTTATATACTGTGAAAGATGTATAAAGCTTCATTGAATTTACTAACTTCTATTAGCAATTTATATGAAACTTCTCAGATATTATGAGATCACTTACAGAACTTATTAGAAAGAACTCAGTATTTCAGTGATCAGTGAATACTGAAGCTGTATTCATACAGATGAAGAAGATATTCA